CCTCCACCCCCTCACGAACAGTTGTCGAGCCACATTCGTTGAGCATGCCAGCCTCGTCCAGGAACAGCTTCCTTTTCACATCCCTTCGGCACGCGCCTCTTCACGCCACTGCAACGCCGTTGTCGTACTCTCCACCTGCCCCCTGACCTGCCCCCACAAAGAACGTCCTAAAATCCTGCACCATCCTCGGCAAGCCCTCGGCATAGCGCGCGCGCGCGGCCCCCCACTCCCGGTACGGCCCGTGCTCGAGGGTCAGCGCGTCGCACACGGGGAAGAAGGTCGCGCCGGAGGCTTCGATCAGGGCGCGGTGCTGCGGCGCGCCGACAAAGGTTACCGGGTAGTGGGCGGCGGTGAGGTGGCGCGCGATGGAGGTCAGCGGGAGGACGTGGCCGGGCGCGGTGGAGGTGGTGCAGAGGATGAGGATTGCGGGGGGGAGGGGGGTTGGCGGGGTTGGGGTGGTGGTGGTGATGGTGGTGGTGGTGGTAGGACTGGACATGGTGGTTGGGCGGTGGTGATAGTGTTGTTAGGGAAAGCGTCGTGGTGGGGGTTGGGGATGATAGTATGTGTGTGTTGCTCTAGGATTGTATTGGGTGAGACGTAATTTCCTAGGAGCGGAGTAGAGGCTTGGACGGCGTACGGGGATATAACGCAGGATGTCCGGAACGAGGTTTGGAGTGTTGCGGTGCTTGGCTCCGGACTCCCCCGGCCGCGGGACCGGACATGCGGCGGGCCGATGCAGTTCCCAAGGTTCGGTATGTATCACCATCACTTTATTGTTTAGCCGACATGCTTTTTGCAGCGGGCCGCTGTGTCTTGTGCTCTTGCAACGGGCGGTCTGGACCCGGACTTCATAACCGACTCCTTCGCGAGCATGCCGAGCCGAGAGCTCGGGACCGATAAAGGTACCAAGACCCGAGAGATGATAGTACAAGTTGCTGTGTTGCGATGGTGACCCTAAATAACTCGGTACCTCTCCCGGATGTCTGTTTCACAAAGATCTTTTTTATATATCAAAGTCTCACGTAGGGTAGGATGAAGCAAGCCCAAAGAACCGGGTAAGGGACACGATAGCCTGTTATCCCTAGTTATAAATGCTTTTACGAAAGCAGGATGTGTAAATACTGTGGAAGGAGAGAGTCGAACTAGATGAAGATGATGTTGATGGCAAGTTGCTCTAGGGGAAGCTTGTCGACTTTATCCTACTAATCCTGTCCGGAGGACAATATTGCGCTCAAACTTTTGGAAATTACTATGGGAAACTGATAAGCTTGAACGGCCCTTTTATCGCGGAGTGTCGATTGGTTGAAAGGCTTCGCGGAGTGTCGATTGGTTGGAAGGCTTTCCTCACGTGACTTCGTGAGAATAAACCGATTTACGTTTACACATCTGCGTTTCGCGTTTTAAATGGATCTCACAATTGTCGTAGGCGGCGCTGACGAGGCGGCTACGGCACGGAAGACATGTCGCAAATGCCGGACCGAGCAAACCATTGACCAGTTCTACGACGCTCGCGGGAACGGAAGGATTGTTGTTAACTGTTTAGGTTGCCGGAACAAGCAGAAGCACCATGTAGCAATCCTTGGTTACCATTTTTTTCTTCATCTAACGTATCGCAGGTTGATGCGTCACGAGCAAGCATTCAGGCTTCTCGCGCGATCGCCCGCGGAGAATGTCGTGCCCCTCCTCTCGCACCTGCGTTTGCGCCTACACCTGTCCCACAACCTCTCCTGCCTATACCTAGGCCTCGAAGGAACCTCACACACGGCGTCCTTGCGGAGATGTATCACGAAAGGGGGCGCGTTGCTACAGATAGCCCGGAAATGGCAATCGCCAGGGATCAACGATTAGCAATCCAGCGACGCCACCGCGTGAAACGGCGCCATGGCGAGCAGCCTTCGCCAACCCCGCCGCTAAGCGGGTTGCTTCGAGGAGAGCAGGTACGGAATGCTGGTGATGAGGCACCTACGATCAACCGAGATAACAGGCTCCCCGTGCAAGTTTTTGAGGAAGAGCAATTCGAAGGTGACGCGGATGACTTACGACACGCATTGCAACAGCTGCCCCACCGTGGGTCACTTCCCCAACGCCGTCCTGCCTCTCCTGGCCTCTCTCGTGGTCGTCCGCGTGGCCGTCCCCGACTTGCACGCAACCCAGTTGGTCGCCCTCGCAAGCAACGACTTGCCGAAGAGAATACCCCGCGAGAATTCGACGAGCCCGCTCCGCAGTTCATGGGAAACGATCAAGAGGCGCCACTGTCACCCGAAGATATTGCAATAAAGAGGGAGTTTGATGAAGCACTTGCCGCAGTGGAGATGCAGCGATGCCTGCGTTGCAAGGAGCGCTGGTTCGACATCAAGCTCATGGCGGACGGCGTTTGCAAGCGCTGCCACGACAAAGACGACGAAGCGGCAGGACGAACCTTTTCTCTTTTCCGCAGAGAACAAGCTTGATTTTGGCATCGTCCCACCCCAGTTGCCCCAACTAGAGCCGTTGGAGGAGCTTTTCATTGCGCGTGTGCACGTCAGCGTCAATGTATTCACTGTATGCGATGTTTCCTGCGAGAGAGTCTACTTACTAACTAGCACCAGGTTCGTGGGCAGCAATACAAGTATCGTGGTCATATTGTACACTTCCTGCGCGACGTGGGCAAGGTGTATTCCGAGCTTCCCTTATTGCCCAAGGATTTGGACATTGTTATCCTCCGCCCACGTGGATCTGAGAATGCTGAACAGATGGACCGACAATTCCGCAACCGCTTCCGAGTCCGCCGAGCAGCAGTCGAGACATGGCTCAGATTCCTCGCCGACAACCACCCTGGCTATCGGAGTTTCACCTGGAACTACGACAACCTCTCCCAGTTGCCAGAGGACGGCAACGTCTTTGATCAGCTGAATATCCACGAGGTCGAGGAGTGTGAAGGGTTGCCTGCAGATTCTGGCCCTGTTGAAGCGCCGGAAGAGGACGGAGAGGCTGTTGACGAAGCTGCGGTGCCCAATGTGCTAGTCCACGACTCAGAATTGAACCAGCTGCAAGAGCGAGTCGACCGTGGGGCTGCCGAAGTCAATGCCGCCAATGAGCAAGTGCCCCTACATCCCGTTGAGCCTCAGGCTGCTCATCAGCTGAAGATGCCTTCCATCCGACGTACTCCTCTTGACGAGTTCAACCAAACGCATGCTCTGCTCTCACTAGCTTGCCCGACCCTGTTTCCTCGAGTGGTTGCGGACTTCGTTGAACCTAGACAGCGCAAGATCTCCTACCAGGATTACATCCAGCATGCCATGAACTGGGAAGATGGCCGATTCGCTAAACATCACAGCTTCCGATTCATCGCGCTAAACACTCTGATGAGGCAGCAGCAAGGGGTCACAGTCGATTCTACGTCAGCAAGAATCACCGCACACCCCTCGGATCTATCGCGAGATACCATCACGAGCTATGGGGTTGAAATTGTCCAATCACGCTATCAGGCAACTGCAGGCGTTAGATGCTGTGGCGGGGAAGGACCTCTCAGAGGATTCAATAGGTATATAAGTAGCGACGACGAGAGTGTAGATGCATCAGCGCTTGGAACGATAATAGAAATGATTGGTAGAGGTGGGATAAGAAGCTCGAGTGAATGGAGTTGATGGCCGACGGACAGATATTGGCGCTTCGTCTCTCCCGTATTTAACCCTAACCCGGATTGTCCTCCGGAGAGGGACAGGAAAATTGCCAGGAGCGGGAGAGAGGAAGGAAGCGCCCCGTAGCGTAGCGAAGGGCCGCGCGACTGACGAACGAAGCGACGCCAGCAATTTTATAATTCGCGGTGAGGTAGTGATTCGAAGTAGAGATTCCAGGTAATAATTAGATTAAAGTATCGAGTCAGACCGAGATCCAAAAGCTGCTATCTAGACAGAATATACCTAAAAAAGCAATCTTCTCACAACCGGCAACACGAAAATAGGGGCTTATCCCAAATGATAAAAATGACAAAAACTTATCAAACGACAACTACAAGATTCGAACTTGTGAGGGCGAACCCAACAGATGCCTCGAACGTGGAAATTCAAGTCTGTCGCCTTAACCACTCGGCCAAGTTGTCATTAAAAAGAAAGCGGTCGTCTTCCGGCTTAAGAAGCCAACCGTGGTCGGCGCGGCAGCGAAACAGGAGTGACCGTGCCCGCTGCGCGCGGGCACGCCAAAGGAAGCCTGGAGGAACTTGCCGGCTGCAGGTAGGCCCCATAGCGGAGTCAACGATGTAATTGTCAAAGGCGGAAGAAGAAGCCATCTTGACTGCAATGGAATTATAAACAGTATCAGGAGATGATTCTAGTTTAGGTCAGAAAATCGGGATGGAAAGAACGTATCGAGTTCCTTGGATTGGGAAAATGGAGCACCGCGGTGTAAAAAAGGTGGCCTCTAGCACCGGTTTGACCTCATCGCCGATGTATGACGCCGCATTCTTGAGTCTCCAGTAAGCTATATCGTCATCTAGGGGCTTCAGTAATCAGATCCCGTAAAGATTAACCTCTGTGGCGTAATCTCACAGAGCTGATAGGTTCCGTGTATTTTGTGCGTCAAAGAAGCAATTTGCTTCGCTACCCTTCGTCACGTATTCCTGCTGAGCCTGGCAATCTTGGCAATGTTGACGTTCTCTGTAGTCGTGGTTTCAGGAGTGGGACGTCATGGCCGAATCCGCGCAGACTGAAGCTGCTGACGAAGAAGCGGGTGCGTCGCTCTAGTAGTATAGTCAACCCATAATAGATGTTGACCCTGCAAACCTCATCTTTCGCCACTTTTTGACAGAAATCCGATTTTTTTGTTCGTGTTCGTGATTGTCAAGGAATGCGCGACGGAGGCATGCAAAAGCAGGAGCGAAGCAGCGAGCCACAGGGCCCTGACGCCAAGTGCGGGTTAGCGGCTTTTCTCCGGCGATCCGATTGGCCAGGTGTCAAAGCATTAAATGGTCCGTGCACCTCCACCGCCAAGACCAACTGCGAGATGCCAATTCGAGGAAGCAAAATGCAGATGACGCCAGACTTCGAGATGCTATCGAGAGAAGTCGAACAAGAGGGACCGTGCCCGCTGCGCGCGGGCCCGCCAAAGGAAGCCTGGAGGAACGCGCCGGCGCAATTAGCCCACGACCGCATCACAATGCCGTCGTGCGATTAGTTTTAGGATGGCTGATAAATGTTGGGAAGCAAGCAAGAGCAGTTCTTTGGTCAATCTCAGAAGTTAGTACTACAGCACAGCGGTGCTCCAGGGCTGGCTGGTAGTTCGGGGATTTCGAGCATGGTTTGGTGACGAGAATGGGTTTCTACTTGCAACTCCCACAGAGCCAACTGGTACAAAGCAACTGAAATCTGCAAAAAGAGCTAACGACTCAGTTAACGTACTGAACGAGATTAGTCCCGAACAAGAAATAAATATCTTGCGCTAGCGTAAATAAGGTAGTGAACGTTTTTTAGTCCCTGAGGCAGTGTCTTGGCATCAATCATTCCCAACCATGCCATCCGGCGGGCTAGAGGGTGCTGTATGCAAGCGCCCACAGCATCAAGGCCCCCAACGTGGGTGTGTGTAATTGGTGAGAGCCTGTTGTTGCGGCCTGATCCCGCCCGGCCTGATCCTTTTCAGCTTGCTCTCGTTTTTCTATGGCAACTGTTGTACAAGGCTGCGCTCCCCAGTGTGATAAAACAATATGTCGTTGTCACGTCGCCTCTCTCTCCTCGGGTGACTCAATTCCAGCTTCCGTCAATGTAGGCCAACCGTATAATCCTAACATTCTGCTCGTCAATCTGACGGTCTCATCCGCTTTCATCCGCACCATGACATCCCACAACGCTCTCGACAGCCCCGACTACTATGGGGTCGCTTGGATCGCTGCTCTTCCCATCGAGCGGGCCGCTGCAAAAGCGATGCTCGACGAGGAACATGCGCCTCCAACTGGCTTCGTTAGACACCAAACCGATGCAAACGTTTATACATGGGGGTCGGGTGGGTGAGCACAACATCGTCATCGCCTCTCTTGCCGCCGGAGTCTATGGAACTACCTCGGCTGCGACCACGGCCTCGAGCCTACTTGCCTCTCTGCCATCCATCCGTGTTGGCCTTTTGGTCGGCATAGGCGGCGGCATCGCCCGACCGGACGAAGATTACGATATACGGCTCGGCGACGTTGTCGTGAGCCGGCCCGACGGGACCACAGGCGGCGTCTGCCAATACGACTTGATCAAGGCCAAGTCTGGTGACAGGCGTGAGCGCAAAGGCTTTCTCAGACCACCTCCGACCGTCCTCCTTAATGCGCTTGTCAGCATCCAGGCCGATCACGAGTCGACGTACTCCAAGGTTCCCAACTTCCTTCAACAGATGCTAAAGAAGAACCCGAAAATGAACAGGAGATCCAAGCAAAATCCTGGCTATATTCACCAGGGCACCGACAACGACCGGCTCTTCCAACCTTCATGCCACCACGTCCCCGGGCCGGACTGTCGGAGTTGTAACACGGCTGGCGAGGTTAAACGCGATGCTCGAGACACCACCGACCCCGAGATCCACTACGGGACTATCGCATCCGGCAACTCGCTTGTCAAAGACGCCGCCACGCGTGATCGGATTGTTGCCGACGTCGGCGTGGACTGCATCTGCTTTGAGATGGAAGCAGCCGGCCTGATGAACCACTTTCCCTGTCTTGTGATCCGAGGGATCTGCGACTACGCCGATTCCCACAAGAACGATCGATGGCAACGCTATGCCTCGGCCACCGCCGCTGCGTATACCAAGGAGCTCCTAGCGTACGTGCCGGTCCAGGAGGTTCATGAGACCAAAAGGGCACTGGAAGTGCTTAATCAAGTTAGTGACCCTATATTCTCCCACGGGGGCCTTGGCAAGCGAATGATCAAGAGACAGTAATAATCCCTCTTTGAAGACATTCTGACCTGCATTGCTTCAACAGAAACTCGATAGTGTGCAGCAGACCACAGCTGCAGCGAAACTGGCCACTGATTCCATCCAGGCCGACCTTCGTACCGAGAAGATCGAGCGCTGGCTTCGACCCTCTGATCCGTCTACAAACGCCAACCACGCGAGGGAGCTCCGCCATGAGGGGACAGGTGCGTGGCTCTTGGAAAGTCCGGTCTTCCAAGAGTGGCACTCGGGGTTGCGTCGATATTTATGGCTGCATGGGCTCGCGGGATGTGGAAAGACGGTTCTCAGTGCGACTGTGCTGGATCATCTCGCAAAGGGAAACGACCGTCGTATCCTCAGCTTCTTCTTTGACTTTAGCGACACGGCAAAGCAGACCGTGGATGCCATGCTGCGGTCACTTGCTTTCCAACTCTACCGATGCAGGGCTCGTTCTGCAGGTGTTCTTGACGCCTCATTCCAAGCACACCAGGATGGCCGCAACCAACTTGCAACGAAGACGCTCTCAGATGTTTTATTCAAGATGCTCGCAGTCCAGAAGAAAAGTCTCTATCGTTCTGGATGCCTTAGACGAGTCGAGAACGAGGGCCGACCTACTCCTCTGGATTAAGGACGTAGTGTCCAGGCCAGAGCTGGGCCACGTCCAGCTGATCTGTACCGGTCGGCCTGAAGCCGAGTTCCTGCGCGACATCCCCCCCGTTGATAGGCGAGGGAAACAGCTTAGAACTCAACAAGCAGGCTGTCAACGCCGACATCCGATCATACGTCGCAGCACAGCTTTCGCAACGACGCGAATTTCAGGACAAGCCCTTGTCGCAGGATCTCCTCGAGCTGATCCAGAGTAAGGTTGGAGACGGGGCCGGCGGGATGTGAGATATCACTGCTTCGATCGATATGCTGATGGTTTGCTGACACGGTGCTTAGGTTCAGGTGGGCGTTCTGTCAATTGGATAGCCTAGCTCGATGTCGTCATGAAGCAGCTATTGAGGAGGCTCTCGCATCTTTGCCGCGGACCCTGGAAGACACGTACCGACGCATGATTGAATGCATACCGATGGAGCTTAAAAACGACGCGACGCGGCTCCTGCAGTTTCTAGTGCATTCGACGCGACCTCTCAAGCTGGCCGAGGCTAAAGAAGTAATAGCAACGCAGATCGAAAACGAGCCGCGAGGGTTTGACGTCAAGCGTCGACTGTTTTGCGATACTGATGTTTTGGACTACTGTCCTAGCTTAGTGACAGTCGTTCACGCCGCCGGCAAAGAGCTACATCTTGCCCACTTTTCTGTCAAAGAGTACCTTCTCAGAGACGAGCGGTTCAACATTACAATTGCTAGCATTCCCATTGCGAGGACGTGCTTGACTTATCTTACGGACATAAACGGTAACCACGAAGAGATTAAGCGGGATTTTCCAATGGCAAGATTTGCGGCGGAAGTCTGGACATACTATGCCACGTTCGCTCAGGCTTCGGAAAATATGGTTCAAACAACTGTTAGGTTCCTAGAAGAGGAAGTGACGTTTCAGCGGTGGGCTCGTTTGTATCAGTCTGATAGGGCCTGGGACGATGACCCAGGTCCTCCACTAGGTTCCAGGCTCTATTATGCTTGCTTCGCTGGGCTCGTGACACCTGCGCAAATTCTTATCAGCAAAGGAGCGGACGTCAACGGGCAGGGCGGCTTCTACGGCAACGCTCTCCAAGCCGCCTCATTGAAAGGCCATCAAGAGATTGTCAAACTGCTGTTGGACAAGGGAGCGGACGTCAACGCGCAGGGCGGTGGATATGGCAACGCTCTCCGAGCCGCCTCATTGGAAGGTCACCAAGAGATTGTCAAACTGCTGTTGGACAAGGGAGCAGACGTCAACGGGCAGGGCGGCGGATATGGCAACGCTCTCCGCGCCGCCTCATTAGAAGGCCATCAAGAGATTGTCAAACTACTGTTGGACAAGGGAGCGGACGTCAACGCGCAGGGCGGCTTCTACGGCAACGCTCTCCAGGCCGCCTCACTGAGAGGCCATCAAGAGGTTGTCAAACCACTGTTGGACAAGGGAGCGGACGTCAACGCGCAGGGCGGCCGATATGGCAACGCTCTCCAGGCCGCCTCATTGGAAGGCCATCAAGAGATTGTCAAACTGCTGTTGGACAAGGGAGCAGACGTCAACGCGCAGGGCGGCGGATATGGCAACGCTCTCCAGGCCGCCTCATCGAAAGGCTATCAAGAGATTGTCAAACTGTTTGAAAAAAGGGGCGGTATGACATCGTCTTTGAAGCGCTCCAGCTCTAGAATTCCAGGCAACCCGAAAAAAAAACTTCGTCCTATGGTCCCTGAACCAGTTGATCAAATGGCCAATCGAGAGTAGAAGCTCGTTGCGATGCGTCCTGGGTTCGGGTCCTAGATTTTCGATCACCCAGGTGGAAATGGGGATGTCTGTAGGATAGCCGCCATCTCCTGTTGATAGCTGTCGTGTAAGAAGCACTCGTCGCAAGAAGGGAATCAGTTTGTACGCGGGCTAAACCGGGACCTTCAGTATGAGCAGCTTTCACTGGCCGTGTTCGTAGGAAATACAAAGCTGAGGTCAATAGGAGTAGGCTCTTATTGAGCTTAAAGTTGCTGTAGATAGCGAGCTTGGTCTCAGCTAACTATCGCATTCCAGCCACACATGACACTCCAGGTGGGGAACGACGGCGGCGTTGGGGCGAACGTCGAGAGCATAGATCCTCAAGAGCATTACCAAGCCTTCCTGGATGTCCTATCCGCGGTCCGACGTAGCGAAATCAAGGATATGAAGAGGCGAGGGCAGTTGACCCAAGCCAGGACGACAACACTGCTGCCCAGCGTGGTCGCCATTTCTATACCATGCTACAGGACCTCCAAGATTCGCCTTTCCGTGGCATGGGACTTCCCAGCCGCGAGGAGATCGACGCGATATTGAAGCTCCAGAATAGGAAGGACAGCAGCGCGACGACAACTATCTAGGGTAGGCAAACCAATCCGTCTTCTGCGCATGCGGACGAACCCCATAAAAGCCTGCGGCGGCCCGCCCACGGAGACGAAGGACCAGCAGATGTGGTTGGTCCGGCGTGCAGATGAAGCTCAAACTCAGTCGTTATACAAGGTACGTCTCAGAAGAAGAAAAGTTGCGTTGGAAAAATATCGCCAAGTTGATCGTTGATGAGATCAGCCAGGTGGGCGGGCTCACGCTCGCGGCGGTAGACAGCCATCTGCGGCAGTACAGGGACGACCAGCATCGCCCGTTTGGCGGGATCCCAATGATTATGTTCTTCGGCGACTTCTTCCAGTTCGACCCCGTCCTGCAGACCAGCCTCCTCTTGCCAATGCCTAGGGACCGCGGCGGACAGAGACCAGAGAGCGCTGCAAGGCACTTAGCTGCGCATAGGCTGTTCCTCCAGTTCACCACCGTTGTCATCCTCCGCGAACAGGTCCGCGCGGCCGGCTGTCCAAGGCTGCGGGGCTTCCTCCGGCGTCTGCGCAACGGCGAGCAGACCGAGCTAGACTTTCAGCGGCTATGCCACCGCCTCTATACATCATCGTGCAAGTCCTCCTTCGTAGATGGCTTGAGAGCCATCACGCCCCTGAACCAAGACCGGTGGGACCTGAACATGGCCGCCGTTGTCCAGCGGGCTCGTGCCCACGGCAAACACATCTCCATCTTTGTGGCCAAGCATGACACCGAATCGGGGAAGCGGCTGCGCGTCGAAGAGCTGGGGGACGTACTCCGCCACGGAGACGACTCGCAGCTGCCGACCCCTGGCCTCTTCTTTTACGCCCAAGGCATGCCGGTCGTGGTGACTCGGAACCAGTTTGTCGGACTGAAGGTGGTCAACGGCGCACCTTTCAAGGCCGTCGACATCTTTCCCGACCTTGCTGCCGGCACCATTGCCCTCGCCAGTGACGTGACTCTTCATCTTGGACCGCCGGTGGCCGTCCTCCTTCAGTCAGACGATAGCGCGGACCTCGCCATTCCCGGGCTCCCCAATGGCACCATTTTAATCAACAAAGAAGACAGACAGCCTCTCCGGCCGATCCATGCAAGAAGAGAACAAAGAAAACAGCCATGGGTTCAGTAAGAGGGAAAAAAACGACACTGATCACCGAAGAGGAAGGACAGAGGCCCGTGCCAGCAAAGACCGTCTGTGCACCTCTGTTGCCAAGCCCAACTTCGAGACGCTCATCGTAGTTATCACGACCCGGACCTAGAGTCACGGTGATGATCTTTGTTGCAACATGAAGAGGTGAAGAAGCTAAGGAGCCAAGGGCTTGGCTATAAGGTGAGGATCGAGCATGAACCACCGGATAGCATCATCTACCAGGTAAGGGTTGGTTCCGTGACAGTCAGAGGCAAGTTCCACCAGCTTTACAATGCAGGTGAGAATACAGGCGAGATAAAAGCTTTACAGTACAGGTGAGAACTGATACTGTTTTTAGTGGATAGTTGATAGTTCGAAAAAGGAAAGAAATTGGTCCGTGTTTGGAGCATACCATGGCTTTTCTCACTTAAGGAACCTTCCGGAAGTACTCCAGACGGAATAACATTGAGCTTTGGCCAGCTTGATAACCAACCGTGGCTGATTACTGCCTGTAATGAGTTCCTCGTACGTTCCTCCAGGCAAAAAAAACAGGGAAAACAAAAAACAAACAACACATTCTTTCCTAGATAGCAAACAAGAAACCCAATTTCGCAATCACCAGTATCTGGACTCGGCAAAATGTAACGTCAATTACAAGCGACTACACGGCCTAAACCCAAAGCCTCGCAGCCCAAACCCAACCCGACATTCATTCATTCCACACAGCCGACGCCCCCCAATCACCCCCCATCATCAACGACTCCAACGCCGCCTCCAACACCCTCGCATACTGCCCCCGATACGCCACCGCAAGCCTCTGATTCTCCGTCCTCGGCGGCGGCAACCTATCCCCATCCCCTTCCTCCTCCCCTTCCTCCCCCAACCCAACCTCCATCAACCGCTCATGATCACCCCGCAACTTCCCCCCCAGCGCCGCTCTCACCATCTCCACCACCCCCGCCACCTCACGCGACGGCGGCTTCACTTCCACTTCCACACCCACCCCAACCTGCCGCCCCGCCCCCCGCTTCTTGCAGCCACTGCTCCGTCATCTGCAGCTGCGCGGGCGTCGCTAGCGTCGTGGCTAGGTCGGTCAGCAGTGCGGGCTCGAAGTGCGCGAAGCAGGGGAGCAGCGCTAGACTTCCACTGCTGCTGGTGGTGGTGGTGGCGCCCTCCATCGTTGTTGTCGCCGCCGTCGGGGATTGGTCGTCGGAGGGGGGTTGGGTTCAGGGTTGGCCGTGCGCGGTAGACGGCGGCGGAGCTGGGGTGGGTGACGGGGCGGAGGGAGACGAGGAAGGTTTGGGGGAGGTGGGGGTTGTGGGTGATGGTTGGGTCGGAGCTGGGCGGGCGCTGCTGGGTCTTGCGCAGGTGCACGTAGTCGTTGTGCAGGGAGGGGGTGGGCGGTAGGATGAAACCGTAGCCGAGGAGGAGCTCGCTGTTGGTTTTGAGGCCGTAGTTGTTGAAGACCTGCGCGCCGGGCGGGTAGCGGTCACCGCACACGAGCGTGCAGGCGTCGGCGGGGGAGGTGGTGTCCCAGGAGTAGACGGCCGTGGGGGAGTGGTTGGCGATGTCGAGGAGGGGTTGGAGGATGGAGAAGTCGTCGAGTTCGACGCTTTGGGGAAGGAGGGTGGATATGTGCCGTTTTGTGGTGTCAGATAGGATGAGGGAGGGGCGGAAACTGCGACTGGTGAAGATGGTGAAAGCCCATTTGTACATCAGGGACGTATAGGCGGCGACGTCGGGGAAGTTCTCATTTTTCAGGATCTTCCGGGCTTGCTTGAACTCGCCCTTGACGTTGGCCTGGATCTCTTGGATGGCGACATGGGCGTTGGTGCACTCCAGATAGGCGATGTCGTCCTCGGGCCAGAATGCCGGCAGCACCCAGGCGTTGACTTGGTCTGGGGAGGGCAGGGTTGCGAGGTATGGCCACCAGAACGAATCCTTCCCCTTGAGGTACTCCTTGATTAGAAAGAAGCGGCCAAGGACATGGGGCGGGACGGATTGGGTGAAGCTGGGAGGGAATGCCCCAGTCCGTGGACTTGGTGGGGAATCGGTGGGATTGGTAGCGGCATTATCGGTGAGTTTGATGGGACCATCGATGAGGGCGTTCAGGTAGCTGAGGGTTGTTGTAGCGGGGCACGTAACTGCCCTGAAGCCCGGCTGCAGGGCATCACCGGTTGACGGTTTGACGCGCAGGGAATACTTGGTGACATTATCGTTGTAGATCTCGAGAGACGGATGCAGTTTTCCGCCGTGTTTCTCCGACCACTCAAGGAGCGTGTCGAAGCGGGCTTGTTCTGAAGGCTTCATCTTGAATTTGGACTGATTCGGAAGGAGGGGTTGTCGGGAATAAGAAGAGCACAGCTCTTCGTGCTTTGGAAGGTATTAGTCAACCTCGCATCTCCCTGCTCTTTGATCGAAAAACTGCCCCGGCTTGGCGATACCGGCCCGACTCTTGGTTCGGCCCCGCATAATTAAGCGGAGCGGAGCCGACGTAACCCGAGAGCAAAATCTTGTGAATTGGACACGAGAGCTTCATTTCCGAATCGTGGTTGGATATCTGACGTTAATTTTCATGGAAATGCTTATTATACTTCACAATTCCCTTCCAATAATTCTTCCAGTTTTTTACCGGTTTGTTACGAATGAGAAAAGACCATATTTTGTGGTTTCGAGGATTCCTCGGCCAACTGCGGGTCTCCGGTCCCTGCCGATCCCAGGATGACGTCTTGACTCGGCGGCGCCGATGCAGGACACGATGCTCCACACAACCTTCTTTAAATAAGAAGATCGCCTCTGTCTCACCTGCACGACATCCCCAAGGACCACTCGACATGGCCTACTCTCAAGATGGCCGCTCCCACCCCCAAGTCCGACTTATACCAACAAACATCGGGTCCCCTCCAACAATCCGAGGGTAGCTCGTCCCACACCCACCCCAGTCCCACCACCGACGAGAAAGACATCACCACTACCGATGACGACGACGACGACAACCCCTCCTCCGACACAGAAGCCGACTATGACGGCCACCGACCCACCCCGCTCGAGATCCCGCTCTCGCGCACCCGCACCGCCAACACAGCCCGCTCCGCCAGCACCGTGACCACCGTCACCAGCCACAACCCCAGCATCACCGGCGGCCGAGGAGGAGGAGGAGGAGGAGGAGGAGAAGCCGACCCGTCCAGCACCACCACCAGCCGCAACAACACCAACCCCACGCTCGCGCGCCGCACCACCACCACCATCCTCTCGCGGATCCGCTCCCGCCCGCAACCGACCTTCACCCACCCCCTCTCGCACATCCCCACCACCACCTCCCAACTCGTCGACTTCGACAGCGCCTCGGACCCCTACCGCCCGGCCAACTGGCCGCTGCACAAAAAAGTCCTCACTACCCTCCTCTACGGCCTGGTGACCATGAGCGCAACCTGGGCATCCTCCTGCTACAGCGCGGGCACGGCGCAGGTGGCGGCAGAGTTTGGGGTGGGCGGGCAGACGGCGGTGCTGGGGACGTCGTTGTTTCTGGTGGGGTTTGGGGTGGGCCCGCTGCTGTGGGCGCCGCTGAGCGAGGTGTATGGGCGAAGGCTGGCGGTGTTTGTGCCGATGTTTGTGGCGGCGTGTTTTAGTTTTGGGAGCGCGGCCAGTAAGGACTTTCAGACGTTGATGCTGACGAGGTTTTGGGGGGCTTTTTTTGCGAGTGCACCCGTGACGAATACGGGCGGCGTGTTGGGGGACTTGTTTGGGCCCGAGGCGAGAGGGGTCGCGATGGCGGGGTATGCGATGGCGGTGGTGGCTGGGCCGGCGTTGGGTATGTTTGTTCTTTTTTGTTTGTTGTTTTGTTGTTGAGGCCTTCGGGGTTGTAGATGGGTGGTTGTCGATGCTAACGGACATAGGTCCGATTGTCTCGACGGCGTTGGTTGTGCAGCCCGGGCTGGGCTGGCGCTGGACCGAGCACCTCGCGGGGATCCTTCAGGCCACCATCTTGCTGCTGGCGGTTGTCTTCATCGACGAGACGTACCCCCCGAAGCTGCTCGTGTACAAGGCCCGCCGGCTGCGCATCGAGAGCGGCAACTGGGCGTTGCATGCCAAGTTTGAGGAGTGGGACGTCAGCGTGGCCGAGCTGGCCCGCAAGTTCCTGGTGCGTCCCATCCAGTTGCTCTGCACTCCGATCTGCTTTCTCGTCGCGCTGTATGCGAGCTTCTGCTACGGAATCCTGTACATGCAGCTCGGCTCCATCCCCATAATATTCGGCGAGGTTCGCGGCTGGTCGCAGCTGGTCGCGGCCCTACCCTTCGTGTGCGTCTTCATCGGTGCTATCCTTGGCTGTGGAGCGAACGTCTACAACCAGGTGCTTTACAACAAGGCGTACCGCGCTGCTGGCAACAGGGCCGTCCCGGAGAGGCGCTTGCCGCCTATGATGCTTGGGTCGGTGCTGTTCGCCGGCGGGCAGTTCATGACAGGCTGGACAGCTGGGCCCAGCATTCACTGGATTGTTCCCTGTCTCGGGCTGGTGATGCTTGGGACGGGCTTCTTTACCATCTTCCAGGCGGCCCTGAATTACCTCGTCGACACCTTCACCGAGTATGCCGCCTCAGCCGTGGCTGCCAACACATTCTTGCGTTCTTGCTTTGCGTGCGCCTTCCCGCTGGTGGTCGGACCCATGTACCACAATCTTGGAGTCGGTCCCGGGTCGTCGATCCCGGCTGGGTTTTCTGTCTTGTTGATACCCGTCCCGTTTGTGTTTTTTGTCTATGGAAAGCGGATCCGGGCCCGGTCCAAGTGGTCCCGGGCGTCCGTTCATGATGGGGCCAAAGGGAAAAGAAGCTCGTAGCGATAACTAGCGATAGGGATACCCATAGATTTAGACCATAGTTAATACTGTACATGTTAGCACCAATACCATCCGACCGGGAACCCAGAAGCAAAGTATTCGGACGCAGTGTAATTCTGTCTCCAGAAAAGGAGGGGTGATACTGGGGCTGTGTCCAGGGAACGTGGGATGAAGAGGCCGGGGAAAAAGGAAGACAGAAAAATGGAAAAAAAAGACAAAAGAACATGTCCCCTCGACCGGAATCGAGCCGGTGACCTTTCGGTATCAATAAATGCCTTTACAGCCGAACGTGATAGCCAACTACACCACAAGGGGATTTCTTGGTTGTTGGATTGCGGGGCTTGAGGCGGGGCTCATCAGGATGACTCCAGCCGAGCCCCGCCAAGACGTAATCCTTGTGGCCGAAGTCCGAGAACCGGAGCCACTCGTCCCACTGCACTGAGAGTGAGCCTGTCCACATGCATCGAAACGAAAACGAATGTCAACCATTCAAGTAAACAAATTTGGCAATCTAACTAGACCCCGCGCGTGATCCTCGCGTATACCTATGCAGTACTTGAAGGAAGGAAAATAACCCCCGCCAAGCAGGCAAGTATCTAAACAAACTTGGTTACCTACCCGCTGAACAAGTGCAAGAACCTGGCCCGCCCAGCAAGCCCATAAACACCCTCCCCTGCCCCTGAACCTGTCTCGCTGTTTACCACACCACCCCATGTGCCTACTACACCCGCCACACCACATCCCTCAACCACCTCCCTACCTCCGCCATATACGCCCCTGTCTTCAACTCCGCATCCCTCATCGCCTCCCTCCCCCCCACCAAGCTCCTAATATGCACATTATCAAACCCATGTAACACATCCGGCACCAACAACCACTTGACGCCACCCCCCTCCCAAGTCTCCTCCCACGCAAACCTTTCATCCTCCC